CAAATCTTGTATCAGCTGATTCATAACTAAGAGTCTCATCATTACTTGAATAACTTACTTTCATCAAATATATCAACAAGTGTTAATTTCTTCAAAAGAGGCATGTTGAAAGAACGAATTAATATTATCACATTATAAAGAGCTAAATGACGCAATACAATAGTTTGAAGTCGAGTTCCATCAGTCATTTGACGAATATCACTTTCACAAAATTGAATCTGTAGTTGTGGCGCATCCAGATAGGATTTTCTTCGCAATTGTTCTTGTTCAATAGTTATATACAAATGTTCGAGAAATGGTATGGCACTGTTTTGAAGAATAAAAATCATTTCAAATGAAAATTGAATAGTTAAAGTCAATTGAACAGTACGTGACCAATGTAAATTTTTTAGTTCGGATAAATTAGAGTATACTACTTCGGTATCACAATACCCATCTAAACAGATTTATTTAGAGTCATTAAACTCATCAAGATATTCAGATGTATGAACAAAGACCACAAAATACCTTTTTCTATTTCGAATATCATCGTATGAAAAGATATTTTTGCTTGAATCACAAAGTTGAGAAACATCATGTATGTACGATCGGAACATTGAAATATTAGATGGAGATATTGTAATGAGTTACCAAGTGACAGAGGTATAAGTAGAGAATCAACAAGACCATATATGTAATAGCCTGCATTTAGTACAATCAATTGTTCAAGTTTTGGTATTATAGACATTGGTGGTAGGTTTTTTGTCCAATATTTATAAAAAGCCGAAGAAGAACATGAATTGCTGAGAATGATTGTGCATAATTGAAGAAGATAACTATGCATAAGGAAAATCTGATTCATTTCAGAATATGATATTAATTTTGTGTTGAGTAAAAACGATTGAGAATCAATGATTTGTTGAATACGTTTATTATTAATACGAAAAAAGGCTTTGAATAAATCGAAAGATGATAAATAGCTGAGGATATGTAACCATAATTCAGTTGGTAATGATTCTAATTTAGAAATATCCATCTCAATATCGCGTATGCACACAATGACAATCATCTTCATGTTTGATCAATTTCTCTCAACAATGCCCTGATTGTTCTTCTATTCGTCAAAACAAAATATGATCACCACGGACGAAGTATTTCAAAAAAAGTATATTCTTTTGTTTTTTGTCTTAACCATTAACAGTGTGATATTAGATGACAAAATATATCATAGAAATAAAAATCTGTCATATGCTGTATTTCTTTGCATTTAATATCAATAGAATCAATATCAAATTAAACTGAAAAACCATATATAATTGAAGATACTGTAGTAAATGTCTAACCTTATCCTTTCACATGCTTCTATACAATTTTCGCTTTGGAAAGAAGATTTTGATAACTTTTCAGTTTTGTTTGAGAAAAAATGAAATACTACAGTAAATAAAAACTTTTTATTAAAAAAAAAAATCATAAAACATTCTCAAAAAATTCATAAAATGCGGCGTTGTTCAATTCACTATAACGATAAGAACTGAACTTTTTGTTTTTAATTTGGATGGGTGTCGGATGTAGGTTTGGTAACTCTTCATGTTTACCCACACCCACACCCACACCCTATCTATATCACTATGAAATCTAGACTTTTTTGTTGTTAATAGATGCAAGAGATAATCCATCATGTTTAAAATATTCTCAACAAGGTTTACGCGCATCATTTCAATGTCAAGAATGTGTAGGTATAATAGAAAAATATCGAACAAGTTCAGATCCCAATGATTATAATGAAACATTTGCACAAGAAGCACAACGTCTTTTATCAATATTAAATGGACGTATACAAACATTTCTTAAAGAAATGATAAAAAATATATAAAATAACAAATAATAAAAAATCAATATATGAAGATTATAAAGAAATATATAGTATATCATTACATGTAAATGAAGCATCAACAACATTTCCTAAAGATTTATATGATGCAATAGAACGTTTAAAAAAAATTATGAAAAAAATACTAGTGATTAAAGAAGAGTGTTCTGTTTTTTTTTCGATACAATTCATTTTAATTTATTTTCTATAAAGGGGACAAATACACCTATCGACCCCCCACCCCCCTTATCTAATGACATAAACCAACTGATTAGCCTCTGGGAAGTCCAGAAAAAGTATTTTTAGAAGTTCCAGAGTGATCTTTTACGAGATATGTGAAAAATTATATTTAAAAAAAAGTTTAAAATCGCATAAAAAGTTTGTTTAAAATGAAATGTAAAAATCGTATCAAAAAAATAATAAAATGGTTAGAAGTCACCAGGTCCCCAATCAGGGTCGTCCATATCTATGATTTCATCTTCGCTGTCGCTGAGTGGTTCTTGTTTACGTCGTTTTGGAGTTCTAGAAATTGGCATAAGATTTTCGATCCCCTCACTCTCTGGTGTTGGAAGATTGATCTCATTCAGTTGAAGACCTTCCATTCCCAATTCCGGTGGTCCAGGATAAACACGAATGACATCATCAATGAATTGCTGAAGTTGAGCACCGAGAGTTTTATGTTTCCTTATGAAACGGTTGAAGTAGAAGTGCATTGCCATATATTGATAGATGAGTTTATCAGAGCGACGGGATTTAAAGAAACTTTTGAGATGCTTGTTGTTGTTTTCAATGCTGTTGATATGATTTTCCTTGTCATTCTTGTCAACAAACTCGCCTTTTGAGTGATTAACGGTAGTGTGTTGGGTTGAAGTCGAGAAGAGAGTCTTAACTTTCTTATATTGTTTAGCCTGATCAGTGCAGATGCGCTTGATTTCAGGATGGACATACTTCGAGAGAAGTGGCCATAGATCACGCTTGGACTTGCCATTCGTTCGAAAGTAGAGCCCTTCTTTAGTTTCCCGATAATAGATCCCGAACAAAACAATGGTGTGAGAATGAGTGTAGCGTCCTCTGTTATATTTACGGCGAGTGAGAAAGGTTTCATCGCACTCAATGGTAAGACCAGGACCTCCAAGCTGTCCTTCAGTATAAGAGGCAATCACTTCACAAATTTCACGACAGAAAGAGTAGTGATCGGACACTGTGGTACTGCTTTCGTATGATCAGGCTCCCAATTCTGAAGATGTACTAAAAGTTGATTGACAGGTATCTTCCAAACAAAGGCAAACATTATCGCCAAACAATGGTGTATTGGCAGTTTATGATTTTCAAACCAAGTATTAGTTGCTGGATTAACTGTCTTATTGCGCCCCTTCTTTTTGCTTCCTATTTGTCTAGGTTTGTGCGACTTTCTAGCACAAGACCAAACCCATCCAAGTTTTGCTTGACCAGGACGTTTAGTCACTTTCATAGGTTTACCACAGTGGATAGGAGGAGGAGTAGACTGATTAGGAACTAAACCAAGTTCTTCGGCAAGTTTCTGGGCCTCTTCGATATTCTTTAGCAGCAGACCCCACGTAAACATATTGACATTAACGAGTTTGGGATGAACGGTCATTGTTTATAAGTAAGAGAGAGAGGGAAATGTACAGAAAGAAAATCTTATAGTATGATTCATATATATTTAATTTCTCTTTCTTTCTTCCATTTTTCTTAATCTATAGATGGCGCGTACGGCTTACATGTCTTTTTATTTTCCTTTCATTCAATTCGATATTTTCCTTCTTCTAATATTGTCTAGGTATTTTCCCATACGTTGACCAGACTCTAGTTTCATATATTTTCAATTTTTTTAAAATAAGGTTATCTCGTAAAAGATCACTCTGGGACCTCTAAAAATACTTTTTCTGAACTTCCCAGAGGCTAATCAATCGATTTATGTCATTAGATAAGGGGGGGGGGGGTCGATAGGTGTATTTATCCCTGTAGTTTTGTAGAGTTAATCAAACTCTGTCGAATGATGAGAAAAAAAATTCACTAAAAGTGATAGGTCAATTTTTCACAATTTTTTGTGCTATTTTTGAGGGTATTTGAGCTCATAGGCCTCTAGCGACCTAATAGTAAATCTTTAGATCGTAATATTTTGGATTTAGAGATGGTACACAAGGACTGAAATTCCTAAGAGGTCAAATCCCAAATCTGTTGACCATCACTTTTTTTCTATTTTGAAAATCTTTATTTTTCTCGTGGCACATATCTTCAAAGATATCTCTGTGATGCTGACATGTTTGTATAACTGTCGTAAAATCTTGAAAACACCTCATGAAAATCATGAAAATAATAATACATTTTGTAAGCTTTTGAGGTTCTTAGAATATCTGTTGGTATTAATTATAGCTATCCTTAACAGAGACTTTTCAATGTAGCCTATAAACGGATTGAACGGAAAATCTTTTATTGAAAAAACTCAATTCAACTAGATTTAGTAAAGAAGAAAACTGATCTAAATACCGAGAGTGGACTTTGTTGTCGAATCACCTGCAATTGTTTATAAAAAATGTTTGGTGACATCAAACTACTCTCTCTATTCAGATGACAAACCTTGATTTTTTTAAAACTCAATTAATTTTGGTGTAGTTACAAAAATTGTTCGGTTCGGTTCATCTTGAAAAAAAACATCGACCGATCCCATCTCTGATGGGTATATGAATAAACCAGTCCCAGTTACAGTTGGGAGACTAGGTATCAAGTGCCACCAGAAATAAAATCAACATGACTGAATGTTTCTGTACCATCTCTTAGAAGTCAAGTAGATACCCAATCAGATTGTAACGGTGCATCCTTACATGAAGAAAAATTTATTTAAATTTACCTGTAAAAATAACTACGCTATGCTTCAGTATATCAGCACTAAATATTTCCTTGATTTTCGCAATCGCTTGTTGTTCTTCAGACGTATACCGACCCAGTTTGAGTACAATAAAGAATGCATGTGGACCAGGCATTGTTTTTTGTATGGATTTGGTTATTTCCTTCGCAAGATTCTTCTGGCTTTGCTTACTTTGGGATTGAGTGTCAAAAAACCCAGGAGTATCAACAACAATTAATCTTTTATCGTTGAAAACTGCTTGTCCAACAGCGCAGATTTTTGTTATCGAGTTTGAGTCATCGCCAGTTTTGAATTCTTGTTGTTCGTCTGGGACACCAAGTAATAAGTTACCCAAGGAACTTTTTCCTACATTTATGATATCAATTTATATACCGCTGTTTAATATTTACAACATTACAAGTTTCTTACCATTTCCAGTCTTTCCTAATAGTATGACGCGAATTAAGCTGTCACTAGGAGGCAGTCTTGCACGGTTACCAAGCAAAGGAGAATCAAGTTCTATGCGTCTTTGTGCGCGCATCATCTGAGCATCTGTAAGCAACAACGATGGCGCATGATAGACCAACGCTCCCTCATTAGAGTGGCGTGTTTGTTCTGATGTATTATGTCGTGTTTGTTCTGATGAATTGTGTCGTGTTTGTTCTGATGAATTGTGTCGTGTTATTGATTTCGTCTGTTCTCCACTGACTTCTCTTGGGCCGCGGCGTGCAGATGAATCGGATCGTCTGTTAGAAGCCATCTTCCATCATAGAACAAAAGAATATATGAGAAAGCTTGTTAGCGCAGCCCCTTTGGGGCTAAAATGTGGAACTCACATATGTTCTTCAGCTTCGTTATATTAATACGAAATACAGAAGGTGTAAAATCAAGAATTTTTTATTTTTCATTTTCTGACGGGCGCTCTATTTTTCGTTTTCATTGTTACTATTCACTCATTATTTTTTTTTCGTATTTTTTTTGCATTATTTTTTTTAATTTAATTCTATTATCATTGCAATAATTTATTCAACCGGCAAATATGCCTCTTACACATATACATTTAACCTACAGCAAGTATTAATGAACTATTATATATCTCTATCAAGTCACAACACTAGCACTGAGTGAGTTTTTTCAAATTAATAACTTGATCAATCGATGATTTCTTATGATCGTTGACATCCTAAATACATTTTTATGTGGACAAAAATCTGAAACTGAACTTACAGGAATACTAGTATACGAATGTTATTAATCTCAACTTTTCCACAATACTCTGGCTTATGCCAAAGTAGTCAAAATTTC